AAAGGGGACCGCCAGACCCGCTTCGCCGCGCTGCAGTGGGAGTGGCGGCGGGTGTTGGAGGGGCTCGGGGTGGCGGAGCGGCACGAGGCCGCCTCCTGCCTGTTTCTCACCACGGCAATTGAGGCGCCGAGCCGGGGGAACCCGGCGCCCTCCTCCTCCTCCTCCCCGCGCGAGGCCTGGGCGGCGACCCTGCAGGGCGTCGTCGAGGAGGCCTGGGCCGCCGCGTCGCTCACGAAAGTGGTGGAGAAGCACACGCAAAGCCGGCATGGCGACTCGCGCGGTCGAAAGGACGCGATGCTCGACGCCGCCGGGCACCAGCCGCTCACGGATGAGAAGGTGTGGATCGTGCAGATCGCCGCCGCGATCGCGCAGGACGCGCAGCACCGCCTGGACTTCCAGACGCTGTCGAACGCCCTGATCCTCGCGGCGCTCTTTCTCGCCGCCTGGGGGCTTTCCTACCGCGCGGCCGGCGCGGTGGAGCTCGCGCTGGCCGCGAAGAACACCCACGCCATCCTCCACCTCTACGGACGGGTGATGGAGGAAAGCGACAGCCCGGAGGCGCAGCGGTGGAATGCCCTCCAGCGCGCCCTGCACATGAACGACTCCTTCGCCATCCACGCCGACGACTTTGCCCGGATTCGCGAGGAGCTTTTGGCGACCTCGACGCTGCTCGGGCAGGCCATCCTGCCGGAGCCGGAGATGAATTTCGTGCTGAACACCGGCGGGACGCTACCGGAGCCGTCGCCGAACCTCATCCCGGACGGGGTTTGTCTTTCCATTTTGCTCGCCAGCGACGAGCCGTGTGGGACAGGGGTGGATTACGGCATCCCGTCAAGCCGGTCGATGTGTATGGTCGTCCTACACCATCCGGACGGCGGCCTCGACGCCCGTCTGCGGTACACCGACGCCGCGGTGTTTCGCGATCTCGCGCTGGAGCTGAAACGCCTCAAGCAATCCATGCGCGAGGCGATGTCGCGGACGGAACCCAAGGCGGGGATTTCCACCTCGAAAGACGGCGGCTGCGCGATGAGCGCGCTTGGCGATTTCCTCGCGCGCCTGGAGCAGGCCCTTGGGCCGCTTCTCGAGGCCTTCGAGCCGAGCCTCGCCGTCTTGTGCGCGAAGAACACGCTCTACCTCTGCCTCGACCCGCTCCTCCAGCCGCTCCCGGTGGAGCATCTGGGCTTCTTCGCCAAGTTCCCCAGCGTCTCGCGCGAGCTGAGCGTGTGGTCGGTGATGCGGAAAAACGGGCCGAAGTCGATCAAACCCTCCTTTACCCCCGCCTTGCAGGTGATTGACCCTTTTGCCGACCACCCCGCCTCCCTCGCGCTTTTCGCGACGAACGAGCACGCCTTATCGAAGGCCCAGGTGGATGTCCTGAGCTGCACGCAGGAAAAGCACCCCCTGGCGCCCGCTTTTCTGAGGTATAAACTGCAATCCACCGCGTATAACACCTTTGTGTTTAACGGCTGTGGGGCCTTCACCGCGGTCTTCACCCCGGCCATCTTGGCGACCGCGCAGCTTCGCCAGATGCAGAATATGGTGATCGTTTTCGACGCGATTACGCCCTCCTCCGAGCGGCGCGAGCAGCGCGCGCGGCAATCGCACGACGCCCCGTCTTCCGCCGGGGGATTAACCCCCCCGCACGTCCCCCAGGAGGTGGAGATGTGGGAGCTTTCGCTCTTTCTGCTCGCGAGCGGGGTGCGGTTTCTGATCACGACGTGGTGCCCTTCACTTCCGGAGGAGCACGACATCTTGTGCAAGAAAATGACCGTCGCCCTCATCCAAGGCCGCGGGACCGCGGGCGAGAATGCCTATGGCGGGAAAATCCCCAAAGACTCCAAACGCGATTTCAGAATTCTACTTTATGGCGGAAAGGGCGCGGCCACACGGGGGCGATAGGGATTGTGGTGGAGATGTAGAAACAATACCCAATGCGTCGTCCTTCCTCATGACTTCCAATGTTCGAACCATCGATCCATTGGATGGTGCTATGGCCGCGGTTGCGTTATTGCCTTTTGTAGATCCCTCCTTTTCGATGTAAACTATATAATTGAGGCGATGATCCGTACGAGGAAACTGGGTAGGCCTGCGCTACGCGCTAAATGGGCCACCCCTTCCTTTTTCTGCTTTTGTGTGCATCCTTTAGTGCCTGCCTATCCCCACGCATCTCATTCCTATACCCCCACGACCCTTTATCTAGCTCTTTTTCTTCCCTCATTTATATTTAGCACAGTAGGTGGTTGGCGTTGTATTCAAAGAATCTTTTGTTCTTATTTGACCCTTCCCCCACACCCATTAGAAAAATACCCCCCCCCCAATGAAGCATTTTGTTCGTGGCGTTTTAGAAAAATCCCCGTTGAAGTCGCGGAGTGCGCGGGACATCACCGAGTTTGCCGTGCCCTTGTTTTACCATCACGCGTCCTTTCGTTGGCATCTTGATAGCCGCGCGGCGGTCAAACTCATCGCCGTGCACGATTTCCTCAGCAGCTCGAACTTCTGCCAGGACGCCTTTTACAAAACCATCACCACCCTGCCGCTGGCGAAACTCACGCTGACGGAGCCGCTGGAGCTCTACGCCGTCGACCTTCGCGGCCATCATTTCTCGGAGAAGCTTTGGACCCCCGCCGAGGTCGAGGAGAGCTACGCGTGGGCCTCCGCCGGGGATATTGTGCGCCTACAACGCGAGGTGGTGGTGAACACGGCCCGGGTGCTCGGGGTGGGGTTTGGCGCGATGGTCGCCGCGCTCGCGGCGCTCGCGGCGCCCGAGGCCGTTCAGTCCCTGACGCTTTTAGTGAAGGACTACGCCCAGCTCTACCGCTGCGACCCCACGGCCTACGACCTGCGCGCGATCATCCAAGACGCCCCCAAAGACGCCCGGACGATTGCCGACCTCAACGCCTACCTGAAGCCCAAGCTTCCCCACCCACTCGATCGCGAATTTCTGCTTGGCAACCTCAAGGAGGACCTCGACGGCGCGCGATTTCGCTTTAACGAGCGGCTTCTCATGATGGAAAAGGCCCTGACGCTGCCGATGGCGCAAGTAGAAGGGCTGCACTATCCGGGGCCGGTGAAGGTGATTATCTACGGCGGCCCCGATCCCTCCGAGGCGGAGATGGAGGCCTTCAAGCGCCAATTCCCGACCGCGACCTTTCACACCTCCCTGAGGGCTGATCGAGGGTTTTACGACAGCGAGCATATTGGTAAGATTTTACTCAATTCGCTCGATATTGTGGGCGCCATTGAGGGCAATCCCGAGGAGGAATAATACAATCTATAACCCCCCCCAAAAAAAAGTGAAAGAAAGACGCCACAGCGATATAAATAACGCCAAACGGTCTATAGGCAAGGACCTTATGAATTCTTCCTTTTGCCGGTTTATTCTTTGCCAATTAAACTTAAAAAAAAAAAAAACTAATCATATTCCGATATCGCCAAACCTCTCCGCATCAATCGGTGGGTGATTCATTGTGATCGGCATGTTGCGGATACGATGCGTATTCTTCCGCGGCGTGCTCTTTTCCCTGGGCGGCGTCTTCCGCCATTCCAATCCTCCCCCTTCATTTCCGTCCTTCCTCTTCTTTGTCTTTTCCCTGTCCTTTTTCCCCCCCGTGCGCCGCGTAGAGTGGTTTGTGAGTCGCACAGTTGTGGTATAGTTCACGTGGGGTTGTCCTCTTTTTTGTTTTCCTTTATATATATATAGATATATATATATATATATTTCGCGTCTTCGCGTTCGTTTTCGCTGTTTGTGGTGGGCACCGGAACTCGCGGGCGGATGGCGTGGGGCGGTTTTCCTTTGCTGGTTTTCGCCCTGGCGCTGCTGTGGCTGGGTGAGGCCGGCCGCCCGGGCGAGGCGAAGGCCAGCAACGATTGGGTGCTGCGCCTCGCCGGGGAGGTCCAGCGGGCCGCGGCGACGACGCGCGGGGCGCCCCCGC